GTTACCACCTGGATATACACCAAAACAGGGGGAAGTATTGCCGTCTAATGATGTTTGCAAGTTCCAGAAGTCTCTCTATGGACTCAAGCAGGCTTCTCGGCAATGGTTCTTGAAATTCAGTTCTACTCTGAAGTCATTGGGGTTTGTTAAATCTCATACTGATCACACCTTGTTCATCAAGAATGTTAATGGCACCTATATTGCTGTTTTGGTCTATGTGGACGACATTGTTATTGCCAGTAACAATGACACTGAAGTTGATCAACTTAAAGCAAGTCTCAGTGCTATCTTCAAGCTCCGTGATCTTGGTCCCTTGAAATTTTTCCTTGGCCTTGAGATTGCTCGTTCAAGTAAGGGAATTTCAATTTGTCAACGAAAATATATCTTGGATTTGCTTGAAGAAACTGGACTTATGGCTTGTAAACCAGCTTCTGTTCCTATGGATCCCAATGCTAAGCTCTTCTATGATAAAGATCAACCTCTTCTGGATGATCCTACAGTGTACAGACGTCTTGTTGGTCGGTTAATGTACCTGACTATTACTCGTCCGGATATCACTTACTCCGTCAACAAGTTGTGTCAGTTTGCTTCGGCTCCACAAAATGCACATCTTAAGGCTGCCTTTCGTGTGCTTCATTATCTCAAAGGTTCTCTTGGAGTTGGTTTGTTCTATTCCTCGGACTCAGACTTGACACTTAAGACATACACTGATGCAGATTGGGGCTCTTGTCTCGACACACGTCGCTCCACATCTGGTTTCTGTATGTTCCTTGGCACTGCTCTCATTGCTTGGAAGTCCAAGAAACAGGATGTTGTCTCTCATTCTTCAGCCGAGTCTGAGTACAGGGCCATGTCTATTGCTGTCAAAGAGGTGGTTTGGATTGCTAATCTCTTGCGGGAGCTTCATGCGCCTCAAGCTAAACCTATTCCTTTCTTCTGTGATTCAACTGCTGCAATACATATTGCTAACAATCCAGTTTATCATGAACGCACTAAGCATGTTGAACTGGATTGTCATCAAGTTCGAGACCGTATTGACAGTGGTTTGATCAAAACTCTTCACGTTGGCTCTACTACTCAGATCGCTGATGTGTTAACCAAGCCTCTCTATCCTACTCAGTTCAATGCTCTAATTTCCAAGATGTCGTTACATTCCATTTACTCGTCATCTTGAGGGGGAATGTTAATGTATAGAGTTGGAGTTGGTTTGATGTTGGTTTGAGTTGGTTTAAATAGAGTTTTATAATTGATTTTATCCGGTTTATGTAGACCGAGAATACCGATACTATAAGATGTAAACGTTAAGCCTATTGATGAATAACAAAACATCCTTTCCATTTTGAGCTTCTTTTCCGATGATTGAACTTAACTAACAGCTTACACTACATATAACCTACAATACCTTTTTTCTTTACATTAAAAAGGGTTTCCAAGAATCATGAACAATTCAATTGTTGTGTTCTCATTGGCTGGACAGATTTATTTTGATTTTTTTATCACCATCCAATAATTCGAACGTATTTATTATATAATAATTGCTTTTTAAATATAAAATTATATCAAATTTCATGATTCTATTTTATCTATAAATAGAGACTATTCTTATTTGAGATCTTGACCTCTCATGTGTTTGTCGTTCTGTCTCGTTTTGATTTAGTTCGTGTGTGTCTCCATGGAATTTTTGAGTTTGGATCACATCTATGGTATGGCGGTTATGGTTCCGCCGTGTCACTCAGTCTACGATGGTTATCAAGGATGTGGTGCTTGTCATCTCTTTCGCTTTGGACAAGGATCGACTGGGGATCATCAATTCATGTTTTATCTCTGGGTTATGTTTTTCTCTTTTTTCATTATCTCGACTTCCCTTTGCTTTTTTTGTTTGGGAAGATTGTTTGGTCATCAGTTTCTTGGAAGTTTTCTGCCTCCTCCGATGTTTAGACTGTCGGATAGAAAGTTTCTAATCATGTTATTCGAGATCAGTGTCTATGCGAGGAGCTCCTTTTGTGTCATTGATCTTAAATGGATAGGGATTCATCACTTGGAGTTGAACTTTGGATTATGATGCGCTCTTCTCAATCTGCTACTGTGGATAAAAGCAGAGCTTCAGTTCTCAGAGTTCTAACTCATTAATTTTGATTCACCTCTTAAGTTTAGTTAAGGTTTTGGTCTTCAAGTTTCATGAGAAAACGATTTATAAGAGGCGCTTCACGATCTGCTACTATGTGGGAAGCTCTTTCTAAGCCTCTTGTTTTTCCCAATTTTTCACTTGGTATCTGAGGAATCTTACAATCAATAACAATTATGATCTCTGCTAAGTTGGTTTCCGATGGGTCAATATAATCACTACGAAGATTGCTTCAACCGTCACTAAGGATTGTTGTTATCAATCTTATCTAGCAAGCAGTGGTACTCTGTGGCTTTCATCTTCTTCTCAGGTCACACGCGATGGGAAATGTTCAGGCTTAATATACATATTTGTCCCATGTAGGCTCATTGTGTAAGAAGATTGGGGCAGACCCTTCTCTTTATCCTCTTTTTTCTTTTTGATAACCAAATATTCTGACCCCACCATATGATCCAAACTAGAGACCGATCTTTGTGTGGACGCATATCTGAAAGTGGATACTAGCTAGGTGAACATAATCTTCGGACTCGGAGATTGGAGGATCATCCTTAAGAAGGTGTTTTTTATCATAAAGCGCCTACTGATGTTTTTATCCTTGTGTACTATGTTTTGAACTTGTTTGTTTTCCCTCACAAGTCAGTTGACTTGAACATTTTAATGAAGGTACTCATCGACCAAAAAAAAGAAAAAATCATGAATCAATAAAAAGATTAAAAGACTTTCCGAAACTTATACCCCAAATAATAAACTACGCACTTGAACTGGTCATGTCAGCATACGACTTCCGCATCTCACTGTACCGGGTTGATCTAAAAACACACATCTATTTCATTTGACCAGTTAACCGGTGTGAGATAAGAGTAGACCCGGTCGACTTCTGGTATCATGACAGTTGCATCTAGGGGTGGGCACGGATCGGATATCCAGGTTTTTAAAGGTATTTGTGATTTGCTTCGAATGTTACGGATATCTAATTTTAGTATTTGCTTTGCTTCGAAAAAATACGGATATCCGGAAAAACGGATATCCGGAAAATAAATAGATACTAGTTTTTGACCCGTGCGCCCGCACGGGTGTATGTTGTTCATAATCATTTGTTTTTAATTTTTGAAAAGTTGATAAATTTAATTGTCTATGTTTTCTATATTATAGATTCATATGTTAGTTAGAATTGACATTGATGTGTCTTGTTCAATATAATTAGTCTTCACTTATAAACTATGAGATTGTGGTTTTTTTTTAGCTTATTTGGCAAAGTAAACACTAAAATGTGAAAGTTTTTATATATAAAGTTCAATTTTTTTTTTGAGAATTTTAAAAACAAATATATTATTTAGAAAAACAGAAACAATAAGGAAACCAAATTCAAGAAAATAATAAAATTGAGAAGAAATTTAATTGAAGTTAATAGTTTAGATTATTTGGTTATGAACTTATAATTAAAATGCACCACAACTTAATTACAATGTTCAAATTTTATTTTCATCACAATATGTATAGATTCGGTTTTAGTTTTATTTGAATTGCCAAACTTATATATGGATTACGACTAATGGCATGAATATATGAATATGTAATTTTTGAGGAAAAATAAACAGTATTTCCTATTTGTATTCTAGTTTTAATTATTTAGATTTCTGACAATTTTATTTAGCAGGCCCAGTTTGAGATATCGAATTGGTTTAGTACAATTATGAAAAGACATGTAGGAATGTATCTATTGACTCTTTGATTTTGTAGAGCAAGAGGAAGGAAGAGAATATCACGATTAGGGAGTAGTTATTGTATTTAAATGGTTTTTTAATATTATGGTTTTTAGAGATAAGGAATATGTGTTTTGCAAGTTTTAAAAACATAACATAATGATTTTGTTAGTTAATTGATATATTTTATTGATATGCTCACTGCGTAGAAATAGGAAGAAAAATCATATTCTTGTTTTGTTTTTAAAAAAGAATTATGTAGTTATAATATTTTGCAGTTAACTGTCATTAGAAGTAGGAATGGTTTATTAATAGTTTTGAGTTTGGAAGGAAAAGAGTATTATTAGTTTCAATTTTATATTAAAATTATTAAATGTAGTGAGGTTAAACTCATTCAAGTCTCCACGTTTTTGGCCGAGAATCATCTACATATATAAAAATATAATTTTTAGGTTGATATTTTGTTTGGAAACAAACATTGAGAATTTGAGATTTTGGAATTTTTATAGTGATAAACTTTCTATTTCCAGAATATATTAGGCTACATATAAACCTTTATGGATTTGAAATAAAAATGGGCTGACAGTTATTATGTGAAACAAAAATGGGCTTGTAAACAGAATTGTATAGTTTAGATTTTGCCAACGAAATTATATGTTATTAAATGTATTAAATGATAATATTTTAATTCAGTGGCATGTCCTTGTAATTTTTGTGGAAAACTCAGGGGTAAGTACTAAATGTACTTCCCTTTTAATAGATTAGATTTGCGGATATTTACGAATATTTACGGATATCTCATCTATTTTAATTAGTACAAATAATCTTAAGATTTTGATACAAATTTTCTTTGCAAAAATATTTTTTTGCATGATATATAAAATAAAACTTCAAAGAACTAGTGAATTTATAGATTTTGTAATTTTTTAAAGTTTAAGTTACAATTATAATAACACAAAATTTAAGAAAAAAAATATAATTGTCAAAAATATTTTATCTCTTTTTATGTAATACTTTTATATAAGTAATAATTTGAATAGAATTGTTCAAAATCATGTGCTAAATTAATAATTATATAATTTTATATAATTAAAATTTTAAATATAATCAAAATATACATATATTTATATATTTACGGATCGGATCGGATATCCGATTTCCAAAATTTTAATATTTGTGATTTGCTTCGATTTTAACGGATATTGAATTTTAGTATTTGCTTTGATTCGAAAGTTTACGGATATCCGGAATTTTCAGATCGAATCGAAACGAATAACGGATCGAATCAAATATAACGGATAAAATGCCCAGCCCTAGTTGCATCACAAGAACCACAGACAACATAAAAATCACCAAACGTGTCACTCCTTCATTGTAGAGACCTGAACGAGAATACACATTTCAGACTTTTTCAGACTAATAGTTTTCCTTTAAAGTAATGTGAGACAGGGAAAAACTTACTAGGTTGCCAGGAGGCCGCAGCAGGAAGCGCTGGGAGTCTAACAGCTGCGAGAAAAAGACTAAAAGTTAAGCACAAAAAAATGATAATGTGGAAGATAAATACGACGCACATGTTTTACAAGTAGATGCTGAGGATTGAGAAGAAGAAGAAGAAGAAGGCCATGGCGCTGGAATGTTGTCATTGAGATCACAAGTGAAGCTTATTCCCGTGTCTTGATCGAATATAGCATCGGATGGTAAGCTTGGTAATAGACAACCTGATTCTTTAAAATAACAAAAATAAGAAAAAAAGTCTTAAAGTTAATAAAAATGATTCTCAAGTTTATGACATGATGAATACAAAAATTAAATTCACACCTTGGCTTCCAACTGTTTGAATGCATCACCAAGCAGAGCAAATAAACAAAACGGGTTAAAGAATCACCTAGAAAGAAGAAAAATAGAGGTTGGGGGTACACAGTAGAAAACCTTGAAGAGAGAAGTCTTTGAGACTTATATGACAAACGCTGAAGACATTCTTAGTGATGTTTAGCTTCTGTAGCTTTGTCCCGAGGGAGGTCGCGCAATCCAAAGCTTGCACATTAGTTATAAGTGTTTGCTTTTGCAAATGAGACACGTAACTCTCCATTGCAAGGCAACAACCCGTTTGGTTACTAACCTCTTTGCTGCAGTTGCCACTGATGTGTCTCATGTCCGGAAAGACAAGAGGGCAAACTGAAAAACAAATAGACATAAAAAAAAGAATGTAACATTTTCACGAAAACTCTAAAGTTAAATTTGCTTTTACCTCTATTGATCTTGCAGTTTGCTAATCCTCTGAGAGTTTCTTTAGCTTTAGAAGGTTCAAGCTTAGTAGCTAACCAGCGGTGCACTATGTTCTTGCAAGCATTGATCCTATCCGAGTTATCAGTCAAAGCCTCTGATGCTTTAAGAGTTATATTAGTAGCTGCATCCAGTATCGCGTTTTGGCAAACCTGTTCACAACACTCCTTCACAGGCTCGACTTTTTCACAAGCCAAAAGAAGCTTTGATGTATCAACAGCACTTTCAAACTCATCAACATTGATCACAGGGCAAGAGGAAGCAGTGAGATTCGACGAGTAAAGTGAACATATACTCCTAAGCTGACTAGAAGCGCCTTTACCTACCAAGATATGCTCTAAATCCAAAAGACAGTGCTTAGACTGAGTTCTGTTAAGGGCAAGCAGACCAGTTTCTTTGCTAGCTTTCCCGAGGATGATGGTGAGAGTAGCAGCCAGCTGAGGACAACACATGACATTGGCTAATAGAGGAGCAAAGACAGTCCAACAGTTGTGTGAAGTTGTCTGAATCAAACCCTCAGAAGCAGTGAAATTAAGCGAGCAGAGTCCTGAAAGATATTTAACAGCTTCTTTTACATACATAATACCAAAAAGGTAAGTACAATAAGAGAAATGTGAGGAAAGAAGAACAAACCAGATAGTTTGGGAATGGTGGTGTTGATGTATGGAACCATTGGGGAAGGTGCAATGAAAGGAAGAAATGGTTGAGGAGAAGTATCTGGTGATATCTCAGGTAAGAGCTCCTCTGATGAACCTTCCAAACAAAAGAGCAATCAAATCATCACACTCATATATATACATATACAGACTAAAATATCTCTGAAGAAACCTAAAACACTATGAAGCTCATAACCCCCTATTTTAGCTCAACATTTCTACGGAAAGACCCTAAATTTAAGATGACCCATCACAATAAACACGTAGATTGTTCTAAAACAAGCGGAATCTGATTCGAACCAGCTTGGTTTCTTAGCACTAATTAATTAAAGAAACTGATAAGTCATAACCCTTTTTCCTATAAACCTGGAATCAAATTAAAACTCACATAGAGATAGCAGAAACATGAACTCAAGAACCACGATGAAACCTAGAGCCCTTTGCGTCATTTTCTCCCTTCCTAGAGCCCAAAAGACAGAGAGAGAGAAAGAGAGGTTATGGAGTGTTCATGGTCTCTTTCAAAGCTTTGGAATTTGGACAACTGTGGACTTTGTTTTGAGATTCTCTTGTCTTTTTCACACTACTGAAAGTCCGAGAAAATTACAATCTTGGTAGAGAAAAAGAGAAGATAAAGTCGTTGTTTCTCTGCAATTTCGACACACAAAATTTGGTGGAGAAGATAGACACAAACAAAGAAGTAAACTCAGAAACAGCTGTCTTCGTCTTCACAGAGAGAGAGAGAGAGACCCCACGAGGCAATGAACACAGTCTGTTGTGGGAGAAGAGAGAAGCATTCATTACTCTCTCTCTCTCCATGTCTTATTCTACCGTCAAATCTAATATTTTTCTTTACATAACCGAAAATTAAATATAAGCCGGAATAATAAACCGGGAATTGGAAACTTGGTTTGATTATTAAAGTGATTAGAAAATTCATTTAACCTTCTACTTGATTTAACTTAATGTTAAGGATGATGATCAAATCATTGGATTAATTTGTTAAACATGCTGTTTAAAAACATGTTGGTTAAGGCCGGTACAAACTCATATTTGTGAGCATATTAGTTCACATTTATAACTTGGGAGAATTTCAATTATACCACTTTGGTGGTATCACTTTTCATGTTTACCATCAACAAAGGAACATTTTCAAAAATACACATTTTATTAAAGGATAAAAGACTCTTATATCCTTGTTCTTTATATATATATATACATAAAATAAATATTAAAAAAAATATTAACCATAAACCCTAAACATCAGTTCTAAACTCTAGACCCTAAAAAGTAAACCCTAAACCCTAAAAATCAACCATAAACCCTAAAATATCAATCCTAAACCTTAAACCCTAAACTCTAAAGTCTAAACCCTAAAAAGTAAACTCTAAACCCTAAAAATCAACACTAAACCCTAAACTATCAATCCTAAACTCAAAACCCAAAACCCTAAATTCTAATAGTATTTTGACTATTAAAATTTTAATGGTAAAGTTGGTTAGTGTAAAGTTGAAAAATGATATCTTGAAAGTGTTATTTCTGGCAATTTCCCTTATAACTTCGTCGCTTGGGCACATGAAACATCTGTGGTGTATCTGTGATGGCATTTACTTCAACTAAATATATTGCTCAATGAATGAATCAACATTTTCTTCATAAAAATTATTACTTGTTCACACCCCACTTCAATTTTTTGCATAACTAATTTTTTGTTCGTACATAATCTTAAATCATGAAACAAGTATGGTTAATAAATGGTTGATTCTACAAAGTACAAACGTGACTAAACTAGTGAATGGAAATTTTGAATTGTATTCAGAAATTTTAGAAGCTACCTATAGAATAGAGTTATGGACAAAAGTCATAGACGATCATTCATGGGTGCTTTGGTTTACGAGCATAATCAAAGTCAACTTTTTAGTGGAATTTTTCCGAAATTATGTCATTTTATTAGGCTACACATTACGTAGAGTGAAAACTAAGAAAAACCCTAACATCGGTCAATTGCAATTGCTATCCGAGGCCATATTTATTTATTGATATATTTACTTTATGAGAATTTCGTCGTGCTGAAGAAATGGAAGTGAAACACTACTGTCACATAAGTGTGCTTATAGCGTAGGGTACGAGCATGTGACCGGAACCGTGGTTTGCTACTATCGGAGATTAGGCAAGGCCTGATGGTAAAATGGGCATGCGGAAGCTGAATTTAGAGCATAATTAGTTATGGACTTTAAACAGACCTAGAGGGGAGAGGGCCATAGTTATATTTCATCAAGAAGTTAGAGTAAAGAATCCATATTTTTATATGAGAAGTGATAAATACATTTTTTTTTATTTACACTGAAGTATCCCGGACTTATAAAATGACAAATTTAGATTAATATCTAAACAGAGGTGCATGCAGCCTACGAAAAGGGGTGGGCGCGGATCGGATATCCGGGTTTTTTAAGGTATTTGTGATTTGCTTCGAATGTTACGGATATCTAATTTTGGTATTTGCTTTGCTTCGAAAAAATACGGATATCCGGAAAAACGGATATCCGAAAAATAAATAGATATTTGCGGATAATTACGAATATTTACGGATATCTCATCCATTTTAATTAGTACAAATAATCTTAAGATTTTGATACAAATTTGCTTTGCAAAAATATTTTTTTGCATGATATATAAAATAAAACTTAAAAGAACTAGTAAATTAATAGATTTTGTAATTTTCAAAGTTTAAGTTACAATTATAATAACACAAAATTTACGAAAAAATATAATTGTCAAAAATATTTTATCTCTTTTTATGTAATACTTTTATATAAGTAATAATTTGAATAGAATTGTTCAAAATCATGTGCTAAAATAATAATTATATAATTTTATACAATTAAAATTTTAAATATAATCAAAATATACATATATTTATATATTTATGGATCGGATCGGATATCCGCTTTCCAAAATTTTAATATTTGTGATTTGCTTCAATTTTAATGAATATTGAATTTTAGTATTTGCTTTGATTCGAAAGTTTACGGATATCCGGAATTTTCGGATCGAATCGAAACGAATAACAGATCGAATCAAATATAACGGATAAAATGCCCAGCCCTACCTACGAATATGTTCGTTCTCTATTCAAATGAGCTCTGAACAATGGTGGATCCGTTTAAGAGAGATTTGGATTCATTTGATACCGTATAAATTTAGTAAAAGTTTTAAATGCATGTAACATTCATAAAGGATCACCAGCAATTTAGTCAAATTTATCTCTTGAACCCTATTAACCAAAGCTAAAATTGATTGTGAGACCTATAATTTATTTAACTTTTTCTTAAAATTATATTTTGACCCTCTTAAAATAGATTCTAAATCTGCCACTAACTGGTTCTAATCAGATTTATATCTGTGTAACCACATGATTAAGTATAGTGAAATGCATTCGCCACCACATTATTCAGCAACCCAAATTTAATATGCCACCAAACCACCATCACGTACTTGATAAATTCATATCTTGCGAAGTTCTTAATTCTAGATTTTGGGACGTTGGCGCTTTGTTTTTGTGCCTTATAATATTTTATCATCATAGATATTTAGGGCCTTTAGTTGGTGCTACATAATAGTTTTTGATCCCATTTTGTCACAGACTCAACGAATTTAGAGATGGTTTCGCATCCGAAAGATTTACCTCTTGAATTTGAGTTAGTTAATGATGATCGATGTAGTAACTAAACTCTTTGTATACTCTCTCTAGACTGTTGCAGTTGGACTGTGCATTTTCTCACTCAAAATCGTGTCCAAATAAAGATCAATCTATAGCAAACTAAAGAAAAACATGACGCTCGGCCAAGAAGCGAAGAGTTTGGCGATTGCAAATAAAGTGGAAAAAGATATAAGCTGATTATAAAAAAAAAAAGAAGATGAAGATTAATCGCCTAAACATATATAGAGGGATGGCTTAGACAATTTGATAGATCATGGGGCAAAATTCTACAATTAGGCCCTCTACATGTAGGGCATCTTTGATAGACATTCTTTATGCAGCAGACGACCATAACAAATGACTTTTCCTGCAATACTCTGAAAGTTCTAATAAGCTTTGCATCTTATAATCTGCAAGAAATTATATTGTACGAGATTTGAACTCCAGATCTAAATATAAAGTCTTTAAACCTGAACCACTATACTATAGTATTTCCACATATATAATTATGTTATTAATTAAAAAATTTACTATAATAATACACATAAGTTATTCTTATAATTTAAGGCTCTTACCAAAAATATAAATTTCATAAGTGAAATTATACATTTCATAATAAGATGAAAACCATGTTATATTTTATACTAAATCATATATCATTTTTGTTTTAAAATCAATATGGTACTAATTATGAAAGTAAACGACAAAGACAAATTTGAACTGAATAATATTGTTTTTCATTAATGATAAAGATGAGTTTACACAGCTATATAAATAGCCTTAGGAAGGATCTAGATAAACTTGACTATACAACTGGACAAGGTTATAAGATTAGCCAACACATAAAACTAGAAGAAGGGTGAAACGGTTCACCGTACAACTCTCCTCTGTTCTGCCATCTGACAAGAGTGAAGACCATTGAAGACATAGTGGGGGGGGGGGCTTCTTTTGGGCCTTCGTCTTTGACTCTTGATGGGCTTTACTCACATTCCCCCTCAAACTTGAGGTGTGAGTTGCTTCCACTCCAAGTTTGCTCCTGAGATGTTCAAAAGCTCTGCGTGGAAGGGATTTCGTGAATATGTCTACAACCTGACGCTCAGCCGGAATATGTCTCGTCTCTATCAGTCCTAATGCAACTTGCTCTCTGATATAGTGATTCTCTATATCAAAATGCTTAGACCTTTTATGCAACTCTGGGTTGGTGCTAAAGTACACGGATGAGAGATTATCACAAAGCAGCAAGGTAGCATTATGTTGAGAGACATTGAGATCACGGGGAAGTTGAGAAATCCAAGTGATCTCATGAGACGTTGCAGCTAAAGCTCTGTATTTAGCTTCAGTTGAAGACCTTGACACTGTCTCTTGACGCTTTGCAGACCAAGAGATTAGATTAGAGCCTACGAAGGTGCAGAACCCTGTAGTAGACCTTCTTGTCTTCTGGCATCCTGCCTAGTCACAATCACAATAAGCCATCAGAGTTGTGTTGGGATCTTTGCGTAGATGAAGACCAAGATGCAAGGTTCCCTTCAGATAGCGCACAACTCTTTTAATAGACCAAAGTCAGACACAGTCGGAGCATATATCCTTTGACATACCACATTCACTGCATATTGTATGTCTGGTCTAGTGATAGTGAGGTACTGTAATTTACCTGCAAGACTTCAGAAATAAGTAGTGTTAGTATCATATCTTCGCTGAGGAAGAGGAGTGGGCATGGGATTGCAATATGGTATTGCAGCTTGGTATAGAATCTCTTCAGTATAAGCACGTTGATGAAGCACCATGCCTTGAGATGTAATCTGTAACTCAACACCAAGAAAGTAGTGAGGTGATTCCATGTCCTTCATTGAAAACCGTTAAGACAGAGAACTCACAAATTGTCCTATCACTACTTGATCACAACAAGTAAGAAGGATATCATCAACGTACAGCAACAAAACCATGGTTTTGTTTGTCCCAATTTTATGTGAACAGAGAAGGGTCAGACCTGCTGCATACAAAACCATAATATATCAGATAATTACTAAATGTGTCAAACCATGCTCTTGGGACTTGTCGAAGACCATATAAAGCTTTTGTCAGTTTGCAGACATAGTCAGGTCGTTGTGGATC